ACAAGAGACAAAGGGTATTACAGATCCAGAACTGGCAATGTAGCATGGTACATGTCCCTCTGTGGGGTCAGCCTAGCTACTGATTAATGCCAAGGGCTGTGCCAATGAAGCAAGGTTCAGTGTATACAGGAGCCACCTGCGATGGGGTGCATGGGGCTCGAATGCCCAGACTCTGATAAAGCTACCTCCTGTTGGGACCCTGGCCAAGCCACTCACCCTTTCAGCATCAGTTTCCTCTTCAGTAAAATAGAAGTAAGAAATAGTAGTCAAGTGGATTCAATGACTGACTATTTGCAATGTCCTTATAAGTGTTTGTTAAATAAAAGTGTGCCATTAAGCATTTACTCCAATTTTTCTCTGCTAGTATGCACTTCCTTTCACCATAGACAAAATCAAATATAACACGGTGAAAACAAGACCCTTGCCTGCCTCATTTTTTTTTTTAAGATTTATTTATTTATGCATGTAGAACTGGGGTATAGGCCAGAGGTGCAGGGGTGGTGAGAGGATTCACCAGAGACAGAGTGGGGAGCAGAACAGGCAGATTAATGAAATACACTACTGAGGGGAGCAGCGGGCGGGTCAGGAGAGGTCTGCTGTGCCATGTGGGTCACCTCCAAGGCGGGGATTGAACTTGCACTGAAGCAGCTGCAGCTAGCTTGCAGTGCTGCATCCTAACCTGCTGTGCCAGCAGGAAGGTTCACCTGCCTCATTTTAAGACAATGTGTTGACCAGTTCACAAGAATACAAATCAGACTAGAATGGACAACTCTGCCTTTGGAGATACACACAAACTTAGTTGCATGTGAGCTCCCCCTATTTTATGGGGGTGCTTATGTTCCCAGGCTGTGGAGGCCCAGGCTGTCAGCAGTGCACAGTGATCCAGCCTCAAGTACAGTGGTTCCTGGGGATCCTGGCAGGACGGGAACAGCAAGGCAGAGCCAGCAGACTCACAGATGGACCAGCGATTACCCTGCAAGTTGGCACTTTCCAGGGCTCGCCAGCCCTGCTGCCAATGACAGAGCAGCCAACGAACCCTGGCAAGAGCAGTAGGAGTCGCGCGGAGCCACGCAGGCCTTCGTCACCCTTAACTTAGTTGCTAAATGCAATAAAATGAAAACAATTTTAAAAATATAAAATAAATGAAACAAATAGATTGAGGCAATAAAGGGAAATAATTTGATACCATCTTGATTGTTTTCTCTTTAGTATTTACTTGAAAACCTCCCTATAAATTATAGTTAGTTTTTATAAGGTTAACAAATGCATCTTTAGAAAGATTGCCAAATATGTTCATTTATGAACCCACTGCAGAGTGGGGGCGTGTTTGTGGAGGGTGGGGAGGCTTCCCACATCAGCAAGCAATTCTTGGGCTTCAGTAGGAGGGTGTTGAGCAATTCAACTGAATTCAGTTCACATCTGACATGACCAACGGGTAGCAGCAGATTCCAGAGAAAAGGAGAGGAGTCTTTCAAAACTCAGGCTGTTCTCCATGCTTCTTACCAATGTGTACAGACAGGAAGTATCCACAGCCCCTCTGCAGACTAGAGGTTCCGGCTACAAGCTTAGGTTATTAGGAAGAAGCTTGTGTTTCTCACTAAGTGGTATTATATCAGAAGTCCCCCAAAACCATCCTTGGGTTCTGTTCTTCTGTTTGAGAGGCTCACAGCACTCAAGGAACCCACTGACTCACTAGATTATGGCTATGTCACAAAACGATGCCAACTGGGAACAGCCATGTGCAAAATTCGCAAGAGGGCAAGATGTGCAGGGTTTCCGTCCCCCCTGGCTTGTTATGTGCCCGAACCTCCCTGTTTACCAAGCTGGAAACTCTTTGAAGCCCCTCCTTTTGGGTTTATTTACACAGTCTTGAATGATGAAACAACTGGTCTTTGCTAATTAATTCAACCTCTGGCCCTCTCCCTTCTTGGGAGGTGTGTTTGGAGTGGGACTTTAAGTTCCAACCCTCTAACCACTACACTGGTTCTCCTGGCATCCTGTCCCACCCTTAGGTGCTTATAAAAGCCATTTTAATTACATAGCGAAAGATACCTCTATACTCTCAACACTTAGGAAATTTCAAGGCTTTTAGTAACTATAAGCCAGGAACTAGGGATAAAAGCCAAACATATATGAGAAAAGTTCACTCATCTTAATACCCAAACTTATATTTCTTAAATGCATAGAATCACATGGATTTTAAAACAAGAAAGCAAATAATGTACCTGTATGATGTCCAAGTGGTAGGGTAAAAGAGTAAAAGACCTTCTTTTGGTATATTCAACTGATACTGAATCCTATATGAGGTTCATAAAAATCTGATTTCATAATAACCCAGTGACTGTACACTAATGTCATTTCAACTGCAATTTTAGAAATCCCATAATTTATATAGCATAGTTCTTGTAGAAATAGGCAGCCACTTACAAATACAAGTCAACACTGGGGAGTATGATACATCTCTCTTGAGGAAAAGGATAAGAGGGACTTTGGTTGGAAATGGCCCCAACACACTTGTTTTCAGGGTTCTCTAGGCTTCTAGCTACATGCTCTGTCTGTAAACACAGTCAACCTACATTTTAGAAATATGTTTAACTGCTCTAGTAAGACACACACAGACACACACACACGCACATGAGCTCCTCAAACACCTGGAGTTCTCAGGCACCATGGAGGGGGGCAGTTCCTATGTTAGGACTGGGGTGCAGGCACCATGGAGAGGGGGCCGAGGTAAACACAAAGCTTTGTGAAGCAGACACACTGGATCTCAGTCATGGTTTCCACCTCCACCAGTTTCCAAAGCAGAGTTTGCATAGAGCTTTGAACCTCTGCATTTACAGTTGTTGTTTTTAAAGATCTCGACATTTTGGGCAGGGTCTCCTCTCACTGTCCTGACAGGCACAGTTTCTTTCTCTCTTTTTGAGCTTTATTTATTTATGCATACAGAACTGGGGTACAGGCCAGAGGTGCAGGGGCTGTGAGAGGATTCAACAGAGACAGAGTGGGGAGAGTGGGTGGGTCAGGAGAGGTCTGCTGTGCCATGTGGGTCACCTTTGGGGCTGGGGATGGAACTCACACTGAAGCAGCTGCAGCCAGCTTGCAGTGCCGTGTCTTTACCTGTAGTGCCACCAGGGAGGGCCTGGCACATCTTTTAATATGTCTTTTTCCTCTCATCTCAGGCAGCTTACCCTTGCTTCTATAAATCATCAGGTGAGGTGCCATGGTGAGTTTATCTTATCCCAACATGTGAATCTTCATCTGTAAGGAGAACTCTCCAAGCAGGTCTGGTGTGTTTATAAACTTCAGTGATTTTAATTTTTGATACTCGACATTTAGAAAGTCATATTGCTACCTTAAAGACTTATTTCACGTTAAACATGTGGTGCAATGTGAAGAAAAATACCACTTACAGGAACACTTATTTCCCAAAATAGCGATTTGCAATCTACAGAAATGAGAAGCTATTAAAATATATTTTTAAAAAGCTCTAAGCTGATTCATAGCTTAAGATTTTGAGATTCCCCACTGCTCTACTATTTTCCCATTCTGTATGCACAGCGCAGATGCCTGCCAAGCCTATTACAGTGAACAAACAATGTCTTCTCTGTCAGAACAGAGAATGAATAGTATCACAAAATTCTCCTCTAATGTACAGCCTCCATTTCCCTACCCAGCCCCTCAGAAGAGAACCACCAGGATGAGGATGGATGAAGAAAACATTATTCCCGCTCGCCAATCTGAAATTACATTCTAGCAAGTGAGGGACGAAGTAATGTCAACTATATATTAACTGCTAAATAGAGAAAGTTGACAAGTTTATTTTCTTTTAAATTGGATCGTATATTTTCCCACTCCTGAGTGTAGTGCACATGAATATCTTTATCGGGAAAGAAGGAGACATTTCATCAGATATAATTTCAGGGCTTAGCAAAAACAGCTTTTAGCTACAGACTAAGCAGCAACAGGGGAACCTCACAGAAGTGACACAGCAATTTGTGTTAAAATATTGGCAGCTAATTCATGAATGTCGAAGCTGAGCATGAGTTCAGCTGCTTTTGTGATGCCTTTATTCCCTGCTAAGCTCACGATTCATAAAGAAAGCGCCTGGAGTTACTCTTCTGAAATGTTTGAAATGTACGGGGGAGGGGTGGAAATATGGGGGAATGGGGTGGGAGGGCATGGGAGGGTGGGGTGCTGCTGCCAGACTTCACTTTGGGGTGTGCCTTGCTCATCTCCACTCATTCACCCAGTCAGCCTCTCCCTCTCTAGCTTATTTTCCCTCCCTTTATCTCCTCTCTCTCTCTCTCTCTCTCTCTCTCTCTCTCTCTCTCTCTCACACACACACACACACACACACACACACACACACACACCCTCGCACTCACAAAAAGGCACTCCCCTCCCCCCCCCAGAAAAGACCCATTAAGGAAGGATAAGAGCTTCCAAAGCAAGAACTTCATGAGCATTTCTTACCAACCAACAAATAGCTTACTTAGTAGGTATTTTCATGAAAGAATATGAATTTTTAAACACCTTCCATCTTTATAAATCTTACTTGTATTATGAATCACATTCCCCTCGTGACATGACTATAGTAAGTTCCTTATTTTAACCTCTAAAGAGAATCCATCAACCTTTCATCATAAAAGAAGAAATACTATTTTTATAATCAAGCCATACTGGCTTTTGTTTTCATGAATATCAGAGAGAGGTTACCACAAAGGAAAAAGTAACAGCTTCCCTTTGCTCCCCGTTTCCCACACACTTCTTGTCCGGCTCACTGAGCCCCGGATTCTGAGGACATTCTCCTGGTAACACGCTGGGGAAAGACTGCAGGACACACCAGAAGCTCTGCTTTCCTCTCTCTCTCTCTCCCGTTTTGTCTTGTATCACTCTAGGTTTGTATGAGATGAAACAATTAAGCCTTTGTGCAGGATGATCGCAATATACAAATTCTTGTGAAGTGTCTACCCCTTTATTGGGACAATGGTAATATTTACCTTGGAGAAATGTTTGTCCAAATAAACTACTCAAAATTCTGGCAATGTCTTCTCTTTGAGAGGTTGTTCTGGTGAGAAATCACTCTTCTTACTTGGCCTATAACCAAAGAGAAAGAAAGTTAAGGAAAAACAACACAGATGGATAGAGACCGTGAAAGACACTTGTCTAGTTCACTGCAAAAATGAGAGCAGATTTGTGCCAACATTGAGCATTGAGTGAGTCGAACATTTTCTCTGAAACAACAGCCTCATCGAATAAAAGCCAACTTGTTCTTTACTTATTTTTGTCTAGTTTTGTGGCAAATAAAACTATGTTTTATTAATTCTGAACAACTGTTACCTGAATTTGAGATAAAGCCAGTGACTTATTTGAAAAGAATATTTATGCTTCCCCCCCAAAGATTTATTTATGCTTACAGAACTGGGGTACAGGCCAGAGGTGCAAGGGTGGTGAGAGGATTCACCACAGACAGATGGGGAGCAGAACAGGCAGATTGATGAAGTACACTGCTGAGGGGAGCAGCAGGTAGGTCAGGAGAGGTCTGCCGCGCCATGTGGGTCAGCTCCCTGGTGGGGGATTGAACTCGTGCTGCAGTGGCTTCACAGTGCTGCGTTTTAACTCACTGTGCTATCAGGGAGGTGGATATTTGTGCTTTTAAGTAGGTGAGTTGTAGCTGAATTGTGAGCATGTCTTATTTAAAGGAGCGGCTTAGGGGTAGTAGGGATAGTGCAGTCACTTCCCCATTTGTTCCATGTGGAAACTTGTGCTGGTGCAGAAGAGACTTCGAGGACATTTTTCTTTGACCTCCTTTCTGATGCACTAGTAATCTTCAGTCCCAACCCATGCATGGTTCTTCTTATTTTGGTGCAGCCCTCTCTCCATCACACCTTTCTCTTTAGTTCTCTTCCCATGCTCTAGTAAACTATTTCTTGTATCAAACTACTGATTTTCATAAAACACCATGATAGGCATAGTGTGACAGGATGGAAAGAATGAATGAATGAAGAAACGAGTGAGTGAATGAATGGTGTGATTACACGCTAAGAAGAGTAACTTGTCAGACTAAGATGCAGACTTCTCAATTATTTTAGTAGACAGGCACAACTCTGATTTGCAATGCAAAAAGCTGAGAAGAACATGAGCCTTCTAGATTTGCATCTAGCGATGGATGGCCTTTCATTAGGACCACATCTGATCAAAGACTGAGTGTGGCTTTTTTCCACAGCAGAATCAGAAGATTGTTTATATTATCTTGAAATACATCTATTGTTTCCCTGACAGTTACCAAGTGAGAAAAGGTTGCCTTTTGTTTGTCGCTGCATTCAGCTATATTATTATTTTCTTTTTTAGAATAAGTCCAAAGAGATCAGAGTAAGACACAATCACCGGCTGTCTTCCTCCAACCTGACTCCAGGTCTTTTGACTGTCAATCAAGCAAACTGGGAGGGCAGGGCTTCACTGGGTGAAAAGCTTGACAGCCAGGAGACTTTCCCACTTATCTATTACCTTTTCATTAGATTTCAAATCAAACAGCCTCTTAAATACCTGACATATATTTAGCTGTGAATTCCAACGATAAACCACTTCCCTCTTCATGTAAGCAAGGTCAGTCCCAGAGAACTCTCCTGAATTCATTACAATTTCAAGCAGATTTGAGAATAAAAACAATTTGCTGTTGTTAAAAAAAATAATTGTTTTTAAAATGTCAAATCGTTTTAATATATATTAGAAATATGTTTGTATGAAGCTTCTCAATGACTAGATATATGCAAAGTATATGGTTTGAAAATTGAACATGACTTGACAGTTAATTTAGTATCAAAATAATTTTGCATTTTCAGGCTATGCATTTCATGAATTAATTATTCCAGGAGATAATGCACCAAAAAAGAGTGTGGAAGTGCAGGCTTGAGTGACTCTGCTCCAAATTCACATTTGACTTTTGAAAACTACACTTGGAGACTAGTGTCTCCAAGTTTAATTAGTGATTCTCAAACTCAAACTCTATAAATCAATCCTACCTGATACCTGAACCCTTTCTATAAACGTCTGAGACATACAGCTTGTAAGTGCAAAGTTAAAAGAACATGGCTCAATAGATCAGTTAAAAGTTCAAAACCCTCTGGCCCTCCCTGGTGCAGGGGGTTAGAGTAGAGCACTGCAAGCTAGCCGCACCTGCTTTAGTGCAAGTTCGATTCCAGGCCCCAGAGGTGGCCAGCATGGTGCAGCAGACCTTTCTTGCCTCACCTGGTGATCCCATCAGTAGTGTGCTTCGTCAATCTGCCTGTTCTGCTCCCTACTCTGTCTCTGGTGAATCCTCTCTCCGCCCTTGCATCCCTGGCCTGTACCCCAGTTCTGTATGTATAAACAAAAAAATCTTTTTTAAAAAAAAAACCCAACAGCTATTTACTTATAAAAAAAGTTCTTAACACTCAATGAAACTTCATGGCTAGCATACAGTAATCAGTCAATATTTACTCACTAATTTAAAAAAACCAGAGCAGAATAGAGCACATTGCTATTTTAAAAAACAAAATTCTTTCAGTCATTGTAGAAAGGAATCGGATTGCAGGTTGCCCACGACTGGCATCCTGCCATCGCTCCACATCACACATGCAAATGCTATCTAAGTAAATACTATGCTTTACTATTTTTGCAATGGAAACAAGTGAACAGAAAAGGCTCATATATGGTTATAGTTTTATACAGTCTAAGAAGGGCTTCCTATAGTAATTCCTGTTGTCTGTCTGGGAATTGCTATCAGATTGTAGTAAGGGAGTTTCTTCTGTATTCCAACGGCTTAGTGGCTTCAACCTTGCTTGAATTCTGCTTCTAACTTTTAGGGTCATGTAGAACATGTCCAGTACTTTGCAAGCTTTGAAATAATGAAAGATACCTATTTAAAGAAGTGCCTCTTCCCTTGTCCTTGAGCTTCTTCTCCCTTTCAAAGAGCATAGTTTTGAATAACACTGGCAAGAGTACAAACGCTGTAGGAGAGGGGGCTTGGGTCTTGGCCAGGTCTGTTCACAAGAACAGAGTAGGCTAGGAGTCTACCCCAGATATAGAATCCAACAATCAAATGCAACAGCCAATGAACAAGTGAACTTGATATGATTTAGAAAATAGTCCTTATCTAGGCCAATGAACAAGTAAACTTGATATGATTTAGAAAATAGTCCTTATCTAGGCCCTCCCTGGTGGCACAGCGGGTTAAAGCACAGCACTGAGAAGCTAAAGCCACTTCCGCATGAGTT